TTAATCTTTATAATAGCCGGAGAGTCTCCTTGATTTAGTGTTTGTTAACGTGAGACTTTTACAAGAATGACTTCCAGGCATGATGATATTCATCAAATGAGAGGACTGCGTCAACCTGAATGTCGTATCAACGATAAACGACTGCAGAACAACGCAACTCAGCCGTCATCCTCTTGTGAGATCGACCTACGAAGTTCTTCTTCATGTACTTTCATACGAAATTAACGTCCCCCTTACAACGTTATTTGAGAAGGTTCATCGAAACCCGGTTACTCTTCGTATCTACAACAGCAACAAGAATGAGCACGCAGGCAGCCAGATTTGGGTGGTGATCAAAGTTGCAATCATGTAGACGTCGGTCTACCGTAAACCGGAATGACAGATCATGACAGCTCGACAACTCATGCATCAGGATCCCTTTGTATGTCTTTATGTTGGTGTGCTTATGAGGTGTCAATGACTTTGTGATTGTTAGGAAGGAAAACTGTTTCAACGAGTGTCATAGTGAATCATTTTAACATGACTTTCCATTTTGAAGGAGAAGTTGGCTGGAAGGCATTCACGAAACGGTCTCACCGGGAACCGATTGACGACTGTCGGATTGTGAGAACAAGTTCTCCACTCAATGTCTTGCCTCACCGATGAATATGTGCTAAGCTTTTGTCTGTACCGCCACGACAGACATCATCAAAGCCAGACTCCATACTTATCAAAATAGCGCAAAGATATGCTGCAACCCTAGTCCCCTTTTGTATAACCCCTTACCTTGCCAGCTTGACGAGGCATCCCATGAGTTGGTTGGCTACCTCAAGCCTACTTTACCTAACTTCTGGTTAATGAATTAACTTCCTTGATGTGGTATAAATTGATGTGATTATTTCAAATCACATGTCAATCTAGAATCATGTGTGTATGTGTGTGATTATGTACCTTTATGTGCACGTATATGTACAAAATCAGCAATGATGGCTCAAAGTAATTATATGAGATGTATTCACCATATTTCGTTTATGGTAATGAAGGACTGATGGTATAATTTACCCACAATGATATGAGTTGAGCTGACGTTTTCATTGAATTTCACTTAGTCTTGCTTTCCCAAAAGTTGTTCTCATCCCGGCTGAGGTGGAGGGCATTTTCGACCTCGCCTGGTCTTATCAACACCTCGAGCGGGGGTCGAACCGTGACAACACAGACTGTGAACTTGACACATTAACTACTCGGTCAAATTTCACTCAGTGCCCTTGAGTCACAGGGAAGATGTGCATTTCATGGAAGGCCAGGCCTTTTTCCATATCACATTCTTTGGTGAGATTGTCGATCCAGCAAACGTATTATTTGGATGATAACAACTTTTGGGAAAGCGAGGCTCTGTCAAATTCAATGGATACGTCAGCTCTACTCAACTTATTGTGGGAAAATTCTTCCAATAGACCTTCATCACCTTAAGTGAAATAGGGTGAATACATTTCATATAATGGGATTCTCGATGAATCACCATATAGCTATCCGTAGTAACAATGAAATTATTTATATTAGCTGTGAGAATGTTTCGAAATTATCTCTAATTATTTAGTGAGAATTCAACCATCATGGTCAATCCGTAGTGACATTTTCGAAAACTACTCACACCGAATATAAGTAACATCGTCATGTTTAGTGGCAAATGCCCGTTTGCCTCATCAATACTCCCACTAGCTATCTCACTTGGGAGAGGCTTCGCTTACCTTGAAATTCACATACTCACATACATACCCAACTGGGAGCTTTGGCTTTGCAGTGGAGTCGTAAGGCTTCGCCACTTAAGGCTCACGAGCCGGACTCAAATCCAGTATCAAGGTACCAACTAAACAGTGATACGACGTAGAAATAACAGTCCACTCTGAATAAAAGAAAAGCTTGTACAAGAGAAGGCTGCGGAATTTTATTGAAATCATGAGGCTTATTCAGTTCGTTGAGGGAAGAATCAAGAATTACTTCTTTAATCGCCTTAAGCAACCCGGACTGTCTAAAGACTTTCGTAAAGACTAGCTGTTAAAAGGTTCCAATTTCTTTTGTCGTGCTCGGTGGAGTGAAGAAGCGACCTGCTATGGTGGTTCCTTGAATTGTGTCTCAGTTCCGAACTTTCATTCTTCCTCCGCCCCTGACGGGAGTCGAACACAGACCTTGGCACCGGCACATCTTCCGAAGTAACACGAGACTCGTTATAAAAAATTGCAGTGATTAAGATAAATACCACCTTGGCAACCGCAAATCGGCTTCATTACTGCGATTTGCTATAGGCACCCTTCATGGTTTGCGATCAAAAGGGAAAGGAAGCCGGGATTGGGGCAGCCGACGACATTCCGCATTGCCTCTTCATCGGCCAGTCCTCCGTTGGTGACGGTTTGTCGGCAGTTACCCACGAACACTCAACCTCGCCTTTTCGTCTCATTGCCAGACCCCACAGGACTCGAGCCCTATGCCTGCGGACACTTCTGTTCCTAGACTCCAGTTCCGATGAGCATTTCACGGGAATGCGTTCCGGCGCAAAGAGTCGCCCCATTTCTGCTGTATCAGAAGTGTCGCCAAGACAGTGGTTGGCTTCTTTCTGAAAGTAGACGGCCCGAGTTAAAGTCCCGTCGAGTTGGAGGGTAAAGTGCAAGCCAGAGTGCAAACGAGGGCGGACTTTGTGTCGGGGAAGAGGACAGATGATGTCGTCTCTGTGGCCTCAATTCAAGTCGGCAACAAAGGCAATATGGCAACTCTACAAAAACCGGCTATCCAAAATGGCAATCCTTTCAGGTGGCTAAATGTGTATAGATTGCTCAAAGGTTAGTATTTGGGCAATTAAGTGAGTCTTTGATGCATTTCGTTGGGGACAGAGGATGCATAGGCTACAATTAAAAGATAATTGGGCTTTTTGAAATACACCTTGAGCAAAGTTGAGTAGCTTAGAACGGAGTCGTAAAAAGCTTTAGCATTAGCAACAGTATCTCTTCACCAGAAGCTAGTAAATGCCTAATGCGTGTTATCTGCCTTGAGCGAAAACTTTACATTTCGCCAAACGTAGGCATTGTTGAATAGAGCGTCATTCAGATGCAAATTCGGCACATGGATGGTACAAAAGGAAGCCTGACTCGCTCGGTTGAATGTACGGGCTGTAAAGAAATATTAGCTTCGCATAATTTAGAATATGCGAAATGGGACTAGGTTGGCACAGCCGGCCCCGTAATCCGCGCGCATTCCGCTCGAGTCTCTCTGACGCAACATTAGAGCGATGGGGCAGAGCTGAAACTTCAGTTCGGGTTGAAGGTTGGAACTGTGAATTTAGGTTCGTCTCAAAGTGTGCATGGTGGAGAAACCCGTGGGTGGATATCACCAAGAGACGACAGCCCAGTCCACTTGTATATACGAAGATTAACTGGCTTTCAACGAGTCTTCTGAGAGGACATTTTTGTCGTGACTTCCGATTAGCATGAAATTGTATTATAATGCGGTTTAACTGTCGGTCTCACCGGAAGATGAAGGCTAAGTCTTTGCTTGCATTTCAGGCTTGCATACTCCACGAGACATCTTCTCTTGTCCCTGTTGAAAAGGGTTGAGCTTGCCTCCGTCATGCCACATGACAGACAGCTTCAGAGGTGAAAATGATCCTTGCAAAACCTTCAAACCGACATTATGTCAGGAAGATGATCCTTCTCCATCCTACATACTATATATACTCATGACTCAAAATTAAAATATAGATAGATATATAGATTGATGGATTGATTGATAGATAGCTATAGAGGCAGACATACAGACAGACAAGCTGGCAGACAGACAGACAAAGAGATAGATAGATAGATAGATAGATAGATAGATAGATAGATAGATAGATAGATAGATAGATAGATAGATAGATAGGATGATTGATTGATTGATTGATTGATTTATTTATTTATTTATAGGTAGGTAGAATCGACCTTCGAATCTCTTCACCAAACACTTTCACGCAAACTGGAAGTAAGCTCAACAATTGTGAAACAAGAAATTCGTCGAGACCCAATTTTTCTTCGCATACGCTATATACTGTGTGTTTCTGGTTGGGTTATGTTGCAATGTTAAAGAGTGTCACATGCAAAAAATAACTGGTTACAATGAATCTCTCATACTAACATTGTTCAGGAGATTTTCCGTTTGTGTGAAAGTGTTTGATGATAAGATTCGTCGTTCGATCCCACCCGAAGACGATGGCAATCCAAAATAAGGCGACTCAACTTTTCCCCTCAGTGAAGATTATAATTTCACGCACACTCGTTCAATGCGTTACATCAAGTTCATCGACCAAACCAGACGTACGAGATTACGCAGCCCGTTAAACCACAATGACCC